TGCTGGCCACACTCTTCTTGATGCACCCCAGGATCCCATTGGCTTTCTTGGCAGCCAGGGCCCACTGCTGGCTCACGGTCAACCTGTCATCCACCAGCACTCCCAGGTCCCTCTCTGCAGAGCTGCGCTGCAGCAGATCCACCCCAAGCCTGTACTGGTGCAATTCCCATTTACCTGTGTTTTCATGTGCAGAGTTGGTAACAAAACTCTGGACAGTTCATGGGGTTTGTCTTACCGTGTCATGAAGTTTGAGACACTGAGACATGTTTTGAGATTTATGGGCCTGCATCTTTTTAGTCTTGTGTGACCTCTGAGGCTAAACCTGCTTGTTGGCTTTACTAGTAAGTGCAGATGTTTATTAGCATCAACTTGTTAGATGCTCAGATACTACAGTAACAAAAACCAGTAGTAATTTTATTGGAAATATCATAGAAAAGGCTAAAGGACAGATGCTTACAAGTTTCTGCAAAGCACCACCCTTCACAGTATAGCAGGTACTACCAAGAAAGAGACGAGACTAATGACCCTCAGCAGTATGCTACCTGAAAGCGACTGCAAACAGCTTGGTGAATCCCAGCTATAACCTGCAGGCCACCAGAACACAGTGCAGGTGAGTAGCCAGTTGTGCAAGTATAAGGTGCACAGCTTTTATCAACCTGGGTGGACTTGTTTTGCCACGAAAGACACCAGTAACTGAGAAGAAATCAAGTGACAACAGCGACAGACAATTGAAAAGGGAAGTTTATTAGGTGGAAGAGGACAATTTAGTGAAATGGTTTTCAAAGGCTGTTTGTTTCATATGGACTAATGATGCAGGGAAAGAAGCTTGTTAAATTCAGTGAAGATATGGGTAATATACATTTCCCCACGTCCAAATTATCTCCTACAAAAGAGGGAAGACTACACTATTTCTAGAAGGAAAAAATGTGGGGGAAAAACACAATAAAAAATCAGGTTGTCTTTGTATGTAGCAGAGGAATAAAATAGAACAATTGTGATAAAGGGCTGCAAGTCACTTGTGCTTCTTTTTAAAGATTTGGGCACAGATACCTAATGCACCACATCATTAACTATTCTGTTCGCCCGCCATCTGAAAACAGACTGTATTGTTAAAAAGCGCTCTCCCATGCAGAGCTGGCTGCCCTAAACTTCAGTATTTTTTATGTGGGGTTTGTTGCGGTAGAGCAGGGCCTGTAGGTCTTGCTTGACCAAAGTCAGTGATCGAAGGATGCCCTGATGAAAGACTCAAGGACTGTGGCAAAGTACAGCCAAAGTAAACAAGATGGAAGCAAAGATTCACAAGGAAATGGGACTGAATGGTCCGCCAAGAAATGCAGGTGGCGAGTAAAGATGCTACTGTGAGAAAGTTATGTTCTGTACTAATGAGCTATATCCTGTACTAATGAGAAACTAGAAATCAAAAATAATTAGTAGTTGTCACCATAAATATCAGGTATAATCTGTAGCTGTCACTAGAAAAATGCATGTTCCGATGAGATAATCTTGAAAAATAGTATATAAGGTACTGAATCTATGAATAAAGTTTGACATTTGCAGCATTCATATTGTATGCATATGCTTTGTCCATCTTCACCACGGGCATGTCGCAACAATTGGTGACCCCAACGTGATTCGAAAAGGGGGATGTGATTCGCTTCGAATCAAGAGACGTGACACAGTCCAAGAGACAACGTGATTCAGTCCTAGAGACTACGAGACACCAGAAGACGACGTGATTAGAAGAAGGTAATATAGTCCGAGAGACGCCTTCTGATGTGGTGGTGAAGGGCGCTGCTCGAGGGGTTGGTTTCCCCGGCGATCGAAGAATATCGTGCAGCGGGTTACCCCTGGCGATCGAAGAATATCGCGCAACGGTACACCAAGGTGAGCAGCTAGCTATTACTATGGGATCTACTGTATCAGTAGAGGCCAAAGCTGTACTTAATATTGTTATGACTTTGGCGAGTAAGCACGAGGTGCCACTAAAAGAGAAGGATGTAGCAAATTTGTTGCTATGGGGACAGCGCAGAAACATATTCCCCTCGGTGGAGGAAGTCTTTGACGATCGTTGTTGGAATGCTTTAGAGCGAGATCTCTGGGAATCAGTTACTGTGGGGAATAGAGACGCTGTCCGCTTAAGCCAGATTTGGCGGCTTGTTTCTCAACTGTTAAAAGACACAAAGATAGAATCAAAAGTTATGCAGGTTGTGAAACAAGCTTTGTCACTAGAGCTGCCATCAATTACTGCTCTGCCTGTAGATGCGAGAGACTTTTTTGGTAATACTGTACCTCCAGCACCCTTGTTAGAAGAAGGTTATGAGGACATGGAAATGCTTACTGATCCAAAACATGTCCCTTTGCTCGGGGAAAGTGAGATACTCCCCTCTGCACCTGTGATGGAAGGTGTTGGTGAACATATGGCACAGTCAGATGAAGGGACATTAAACAGGTTGCTGCAAGAAAATGCCGATCAAAGACAACAGCTAACGCAGCTGACGGGTACCTTGAAAGAGACTATGCGAGAACAAGGACAGGTTTTGAAAAATTTGCTCGTGCAATATAACACTGAAGGGCGGCTTGGACTGGGGCATAACGAGAAGGAAGAACAGCGGACTGTTCTGGTACAAACTATTGATCCTGGTCAATGATGGCAGGGAGTCATCTGAGATGCTGTGATTGATGGTGAATTTATCGGACCTCTTCGGGCTTATCCTGTCTCTGCATACCCTGTGATTTCGTCTAGGAATTCCCAGGGTCAGGTGGTAAAAAAATGGCATAATTTTGATTGGAAATTATTGAGGGAATTACAAAAAGCTGTAATGGAATATGGGTTAAGTAATCCTTTTGTGCAAAACTTAATAGATGTAATTTTTTCACAAATGATACTTACGCCATTTGATACAGGTAGTATTGTGTCTCTTGTTTTAACTCCTACTCAGAGGTTATTGTTTAAAGATGATTGGAAAAAGCGAGTGGATATTACTTTGTTGAATAATACAGACTTGCAGCCAGATGATCCCCTGAGAACTGCGACAGCTAACATGTTATTGGGACAGGGTGAATTTGCTAATCCTCAAGTACAAGCCCGACTTTCAGGGCGCGTACTCCAACAATCGCAAGCGCTAGCTGCTGCAGCTCTTAAAGCAGTGCCTCAGATTGGGAAACTTAATCCGCCTTATGCGAAAATTGTGCAGAGCCCGCAGGAACCCTTTGTGTCCTTTTTGGATAGACTGCAGAGTGCGATTGAAAAATCACCAAATTTAACACCTGAAGCTCGTTCCGCAGTGGGTTTGGATTTGGCTGTACAGAACGCGAATCCTGTTTGCAAGCTAATATTGTCCACCCTACTGCGCACTGCAGGGTTGGTGGATATGACTGAAGCCTGTAATCGGGCTGATTTGCTTGTTAAACAGGATAAAGCTGATATACATGCGAAAGCTCAGGCTACTGCTTTAGCTATGGCATTAAAACCTCTCGTAGCCGCTCCAAGGGGGGGTAACCGACTGCGTTTAGGGATATGTTTTCTTTGTGGGGAATGAGGACATTTTCGAAATATGTGCCCTTGCAACCCACAAAATTCTGGGAAGCAAGTGAAAGGTAAAAATTTAACAACTCAACAAAATATCTCTTTACGCTCCTGTTTGTGCTGTCAGAAGTTTGGACATGAAACAAAAAATTGTCGTTCAAAATACCATAGAAATGGTACTTTGCTGTCTACTTCAATTTCGGGAAACTTGACGGAGAGCGCCGGACAGATACAAATGCCCCAGCGAAGCACCCTGCAGGGCCCGGGTGTCTGGATCGGCTCTGTGGAGCCACCGGAGGCAGTGCATGAATAGATACTGCAGTAGCTCATGATGTGATTTTAGCTGATGACAAAATTCAAACCATAGATTCTAACTTAACGGAGCCCTTGAGAAGAGGCTTGAGCGCGCTATTAGTAGGTCGCTCATTTTCCTCTAAGCAAGGCATTTTCATTCTGCCTAGACTTATTGATGCTGATTATACGGGGACAATAAAAATTATGATCAAAGCCTTTTTTCCACCAATTCATATTATGGCTGGAACCAGAGTAGCTCAGTTAATACCGTTCAAAGGTATGGTTCCTCATACTTCCAAATCCTTTAGGGGAGACAAAGGCTTTGGTTCCTCTGATGATCCTAAAGTATTTTTTACCATTCCGGTAACAAATCAAAAACCAACTAGAACTGTGACGTTTGATGGGCCCCACAATATCGCTAGCACATTAGTTACCTTATTGGATACAGGCGCTGATGTTAGTATCTTTCCAAAACGACAGTGGCCTGCATCATGGCCCTTGAATAGAGTCTATACTCAGGTGATGGGAATCAGAGGTGTGCAAGACACTCAGGTAAGTACTGGATATATTACTGTCACTGACGTAGAGGACACTCAATTGCGGGCGCAAATAAAACCCTATGTAGTCGACTCTCCTATTTTGCTGTTAGGATGAGATTGCCTTAATCAGTGGGGTTTAACATTGTCAACTCCACCTTTTTTGTAGCGGTCACTGATGCGGGACGCTCACCCCCTCTGCTTCAATTAACCTGGTTAACTGATACACCTGTTTGGGTGGATCAGTGGCCACTCTCATATGAAAAGCTGTCCCACTTAAATGAATTGGTCGATGACCAATTAGCTAAAGGACATTTAGAGAAATCTGTGAGTCCTTGGAATACCCCTGTTTTTGTGATCCCAAAGAAGTCGGGGAAATGGCGTTTATTACATGATTTGCGCGCAATTAATGTTGTAATGGAAAGCATGGGTGCGCTACAACCCGGAATGCCAACCCCCACTATGTTACCGGAAAACTGGGAAATTATTATCATTGATCTAAAAGATTGTTTTTTCACTATCCCTTTACATCCTCAAGATCGAGCAAAATTCGCTTTCAGTGTGCCCTCACTGAATAAACAAGAACCGTACAAACGCTACCAATGGACTGTTTTACCTCAACGTATGAAAAATTCGCCTACGATCTGTCAGTATTATGTGGCGTGGGCTTTAACACCCGTTCGACAAGCTCATCCAGAATGGATTATTTACCATTATATGAATGACATTTTAGTAGCCAGTGAGTCGTTTGTGTTCAGAGATACAATTAATTACCTATCTCAACAATTAGCTACAGCAGGACTTGTTGTTGCTCCGGAAAAAATACAAACAGCACCTGTTTATAAATATCTGGGGCTCTCTATCACTGATTCTATTGTCCAACCCCAAAAGTTACGTCTTACTACAAATGTAGTGACTTTACATGATGTACAGCATTTGGTAAGAGACCTACAGTGGCTTCGCCCGTATTGTGGTATTTCAAATGAAGATTTATCCCCTTTTTTACAGCTACTGTGAGGCGGTGGAGGGGCTGATGCAACTCGTAAGCTCACTCCTATGCATAGAACAACTTTAAAGACTATTGAAACAAAACTTTCTAACGCCTTCACAGGGCGGAGAGTTTTTGATTTACCTTTCAACTTGGCTATCATGAATTCCAACAGGTATTTAGCTGCAATTATATTTCAGTGGGACTCACAACGTTCAGATCCTCTTATCATCTTAGAATGGTATTTTCCCCCGAGTCATTGTTCAAAAACAATAGCGACGCGTTCAAAAGGTATAGCGCTATGTATCTCTAAGATGCGGAACCGGTTGTGGGAAATCGCAGGGACCACTTGTGATACTATGTATTTACCCTATACCGAAAACCAACTTGTTAAACTGTTACAACATCGTGTAGATTTTGCTTTAACTATTTTAGGATACAGTGGTAAAATCAGCAATCATTACCCAGCACATCGATTGTTTGCCACCAATTTATCTTTTGAAAAAGAATTGATGTTGCGATCTCAACCTCTGCAGGGTAAAACAATCTTTACTGATGCTAGTGTCCGAACTGGCAAAGCAAGATTTGTGTGGTTTGAAAATGGTGATTGGCAGCGACAAATATTTTTAGCTGATGGCTCTGCTCAAATTTTGGAGCTATTGGCAGTAGTTTCTGTCTTTCGGCAATTTGCTATAGAGCCTCTAAATCTTATATGTGACTCGGTATATGTGGTCGGCGTCGTAAAACACCTAAAGTGAGCTTTCTTAAAGGAGGTATCAAATCCTCAATTATGGAAGTTACTTGTTCAGCTATGGCATCTCCTTAATACTCAGCAAGAACCCTATTTCATTACACATATTCGCAGTCATACGCCAATTCCTTGGGGTTTGGCTGAAGGAAATCATCTTATTGATGGCCTAGTTGCTGCACCTGTTATTGTTCCAGATCTATTTCGGCAGGCACTTGCCTCGCATGAATTTTTTCACCAATCTGCTAAAGCCTTGAGCAGGCAATTTAGTCTCTCAAAAAGCCAGGCAAAAAATATTATCACTGCTTGTCCATCTTGTTCACAAGCACGAGTTGCTATTGATGACGGCATCAATCCTCGAGGTCTTGGCCCACTAGAATGCTGGCAAACTGATGTTACTCAAATTCCTCAATTTCGAAATGTTCAACAGGTTCATGTTACTACTGATACCTTTTCTCATATGATGTGGGCCACAGCCTTAACATCCACCTCTGCTTCTTGTGTACGTAGACATTAGCTGCAACGTTTTGCTGTTTTAGAAGTCTCCCATAAAATTAAAACAGATAATGGTTCTGGTTATATTGCTCAATCCAACAACTCATTTTTTAAATCAGTGGGGGGTACTCCATGTTACAGGTGTCCCGGGAAATTCCACAGGTCAAGCTATTATTGAACGAGCTCACCACACATTAAAATCACAGTTAGAAAAACAGAATGAGTATGCTCTACCCCCAGAAACACAATTGATGAAAGCATTATATGTGCTGAATTGGCTAAACATTCGAGAAAATGACTCTTTACCTCCAGGAATAAAGCATTTAGGAGAATTAAAGGAATCAACTTTTGAGGAAAAACCACCTGTGCAATGGTATGATGTGAAAAATAATAATTGGAAAGGTCCGGTAAGATTATTGACCTGGGGAAGGGGTTATGCTTGTATTTTAACAGAAACCGGTACAAGATGGTTACCAGCGAAATGGATCAGACCATGGAAAGATGAAGTACACAGTTCAGACAGTGGAGGAGATGGATAATTCTGCTGTTAACTGTTTGCCCTCTGAATGGTGATACAGTAACCGTGGATATGGCCCTTTCTCAGAATTCACCTAACATGTGGGTGACTTGGGCACATAAGGCTGGAGTCACAGATTTTTGTCTGTCACTACGACAAGTTGGGAATCCTTTTAAAACTTGCTTGATTGGTATCCCGTATATAAATATATCTGAATTTGGCAATTAGACCCATCTGGGACCATTGTTAAATGAGTCAATTATTTGGCAAGCAGCTCAACAGAACTCGTGGACTTATGAGTCTACAGCAATGGCCCTGTTAATAAAAAATTTGAATAAAACAATGTTGCCTCCCCAAGAATTAGAACTTCTGGGCTCAGACCAAGCTGGCGGCTGTTGGTATTTTAGTACCAGCACTGTTAGAGGCGAGGATGATATCGAGACGCGAGTTTCACCTCAGAAGTAGTGGTACCAAGATGATTTTTACTGCAATGGTTCTGCCCCTCATATACCGTATAACATCACAAAACCACGAGCTTTACCGCCTAGTTATTTTTTGATATGCGGCGATAGGGCATGGCCAGGAGTGCCGGCCCTGCCATTTGGAGGCCCTTGTTATATTGGAAAATTGACCTTTTTGATGCCACGTAAACAACATTTACAGTATCTAGTACAAGTGAGTAAAACAGTGAGTGAAACAGGCCACCAAAAAAGAGCAACGGTAATGCTCAACGAAAAATGTGATGATAATGTTGTAGTGTGGGGAAAAGTGTTGTCTATTGCTGGTTCTCTTTTTCTTCCACAGTTGTCATCAATCCAAGCGTTGCAATCTCTACACACCCTGGCCTGCTGGGCAGGCAAACAAATGAATAAAACCTCAGAAATTCTGTATGATCTGGCAAGCGACCTAGATAGTGTTCGCCATGCGACTTTGCAAAATCGAGCTGCAATAGATTTCTTGTTATTAGCACATGGACATGGGTGTGAAGAGTTTGCTGGTATGTGCTGTATGAATCTTTCGGATCATTCACAATCGATTCATAAAAAGTTACAAGAGTTGATGAATAATATGCGTAAATTGCGATCTGAAGATCGGTTTGACGACTAGCTGAGTTCCTTAGGAATTGCCGGCTGGATAAAAGATTTAATCAAGTATGGTCTCATTATCTTATGCTCAATTATTGTTTTGCTAATAATCTTTCCTTGTATATTACAATGCTCTATGTCTATACTTATGGGACTGATGGATACGATTTTAAGAAAGAAAAAAAGGGGAACTGTGGGGTTCGCTGCGGTAGAGCAGGGCCTGTAGGCCTTGCTTGACCAAAGTCAGTGATCGAAGGATGCCCTGATGAAAGACTCAAGGACTGTGGCAAAGCACAGCCAAAGTAAACAAGACGGAAGCAAAGATTCACAAGGAAATGGGACTGAATGGTCTGCCAAGAAATGCAGGTGGCGAGTAAAGATGCTACTGTGAGAAAGTTATGTTCTGTACTAATGAGCTATATCCTGTACTAATGAGAAACTAGAAATCAAAAATAATTAGTAGTTGTCACCATAAATACCAGGTATAATCTGTAGCTGTCACTAGAAAAATGCATGTTCCGATGAGATAATCTTGAAAAATAGTATATAAGGTACTGAATCTATGAATAAAGTTTGACATTTGCAGCATTCATATTGTATGCGTATGCTTTGTCCATCTTCACCACGGGCATGTTGCAACATTCTTATATTGCCAATGATTATAAACAGAAGGAACAGATGTTCAAAGTAGATGCTACCTATATATGTAGTCCAATTTTACCAAGTGCTAAAGTTACCCTCATTGCCCATATTAAGCAGGCAAGCAAAATGCTTCCAAATCAAGTATAATCTTAAATTCAAGATGGTTGATTGTTGACAGAAAGCCTATTCACTGATAATTAAAGAACATCTTTTCAGAAAGTAGTAGGCACAAGTACATTGTTCATGCCACTTGCTAAAAAATTGGACACAGCAATGGTAAGTGAACAATTTCTGAACTTATTTTAAAAATTTGTCATTTGTCTTGTCATGACAGTAATTGCAATAAGGTTGAGTCGGCTAAAGCCATGTGTCTTCAGGTTCTGCGTTTGGTTCTGAATTAAGCAGGGTTCTGTTTGTACACTGTCTTATAAATCAGATTAAATTCACGTATCTTTTTTAACAAAATAATTCTTAATCCTTTAAAAACACCTATAACAAAAGGTATACGATAATCCAATTTTCAAAACCCCCCCATGTTAAATATATTTGGTTTTCCTATTAGCATATAAAAAGGGGAAAGTTGTCATGCAAATATTCTGACCAGTGTGATAATGCTCCACAGAACCATTAAACACATGAACTTTTTAGTAATAATTCTGACTTTACTTTTAGTAGCATACAAGTCAGGGTTTAAACTCAGTTTCCCAGCAGTAAATTAAACTTCTTGTTTGAAAACTCCCAAAAGCACCATGAAAGAGCTGATCTATTTCCACTTTAAGTCACATACTAGTGCTATATGATCAGAAGGATGTGAAACACTCGGCAAAGCCTGGTGAGCTGTTATTTCTTCATGACTTGGCAATGGAATGACCTGTTCAACCTCTAGAGCATTTCTGTCGATGAAAATGTAGTCCAGACACCCATGAAACCCACCAACATAGTTCGTGTAAGCAGGTTCTCCGCAAGCACTTAGCAGTTTGAAAGGATGGCTTAGAGGCATATTGCACCTTTCTTCTTCACCGTTCGAGACCCAGTCTTCATGATCTTCAGCAATGCCACCACTGTTAATAAAACTATATGCTCCAGATGATGGTGTACTGTTAAAATCTCCACAGAATATGACTGGTGTGCTAGGATACAAATCACATGCTACGTGCTTGATGTGAGACAAGGCTACAGCGACTTGGATGAGCCGGATGTTCCCTCCTAAGAATACAAAGATGTATTACTTTAAATACTTCACAGTAGCACTGGAGGAATTTTCCAAGTTGCTCATTTAAGCATATATCATGTATAGCTCTGAAACAGTAATCTCACTTTAAATTTTCCGTGCACTACATTTTAGAATAGTTTTCATAAATAAAGCCGCCTTTGAAGTTTGTGACTATGAAAGTTTTAGAGAGGCAGGCAGTGTTTCAATTTAAACTTGCGCATGCAAGAACTCTGAACCTTAAACACCCATAAAGAAAACTAATTTAAAAGAGGAGAATCTCTTCTAAAAGCTTCTGTAGCCAAATTTGGTTGCCCTTCTGGCAGTGCCCCAGTAGAACTCCTTCAGGTACAACAAGACTGGGAAGCCACAAACACACACAAAGCTACCTGTATTTTACAGTCTGCTCTTTGGGTGAATGGTGTGTAACATGATTTGCCTTGCTTTCAGCTGTATTCTACTGACTCCCAGGCAGACTAGAACAATCTTACTCTAAGAAAAAAAACAAACAGACCTAACAGCCTGGAAAACCTTTACAGACCCCATTATGCTACACACACGAATATGACAAAATTACCTTTTGGATGCCAGTAGAGGTGGGTATTGGCTACACAAACCCTCCTGGAAGGGTCAGTTGTAGACTGAAGAACTGAAACCTCCAAGAGAAAAGGCAATCTTTGATAAGTCTTAAATAGAGAGGTTACATATTTTTAGAAAATGCAATAGTTAGCTTATGCCTTTATGGCAATCCCATTCAAAGAATGTGATGCTAATAACTAATAAACAGTACAGGTCCTAAGTTGAGTCTACCTTCTATATAACGTCAGGGTATCAGCCAACATATTACCACTACATCCAGATATTTAATAAATGTTCTTTTGTCTGTGTCTGGTTTGGCCGTATTTTTTCCTTCAATCCATTCCATATTTTTCCCTAAGATGTTGCTGATGCTGTACCATTCTTAACTACTTTTGTTTTCTATTGTCCCACCTCTGCAGTGGAATTGGAGCTATGTCTCTGGTTTTAGCAAGGAAACTGTAGCATTGCATAGTTCTTCAACTGAACGTAAATTCAGAGTTGATTTCAGTTACCAAGGAAAGCTTGTTAGCACTACTCAGTCCATGAGTAAGAAACTTCTACCAACCAGTGTTTCTGTAATTCCTGACACAGACCTAGATCTTACACACTCCTACTTACACAGTAGTTCTGCTGGCAGACCCACTGGCATCAACAAGTGGACAGACCTGCCCAACCTTGCTTCTCTCCCTACTGTTACTTTGGTAAAGTAGCATTATTAAAGCAAGGTAGATTAACTTAATCTCATTTACAAGTGATTTACAATATTTAAATTCTATGAAATACATACTCTGACATAGGAGAATAAGTAGTGAAAAACTTGGCATCCGATACCACCAACCAGGAATCAATACCTGGCCCAGAATCTCAACAGCTGCCCTCATCTTAAAACAAAGAAAGTAATTTTGCCTTTTTTGCCAGATTTTGGTAATTTCACATGTCCAGTTCAGTAAAGTCTCAATGTTTTGCTCTTGTTCCTAAGTTGCTCTTCTGCTCTATTCATTGCCCTAGCTAACAGAGACCGTACCACTGTTCTGTCTGTATTTCAGATGGTTAACCCTTTGCCTCCCTACTCCTGCGCTTTGATGCTCGGCAAATCTAACCTGGCTGCACCTGCCAGAAGACAGTGGGAAGAGGACAGTGGGGAGACAGTACCTGCAGCACAGATGACCTCTGCAGCACCTTCTCCTGCACCAAGGGGTACTTGGCCAGCTTATCACGCAGCTCCTGGTGCAGCGGATCCAAGAGCAGGGCTTCGCTGAAAGCGATGTCGTGCCGGCTAAGGAGGCAGAACTTGTCCCTGCGGTAGAAAGTGGCCAGGCCTTCGTGCTGCTTCTCTTTAATCCTGAAGAGCCCTTCGAGTCCGAAAGCGTCTAGGGCTGGAGCCAAGCTGTCCGTGAAGACGGACTTGTCCACCTCTTGCAAGCAGATGAGGTCAGCGCTGTAGCCCGCCAGCTCCTTCTTGAGGAGGCTCTGCCGGTAGTCGAGCTCCAAGGCGTACGGGGCGCAGTACGGGTAGAGCACGGTGCGGGAGAACTCGGTCTGGGCGTAGGAGTCGGCCAGGGTGTTGTAGGAGACGGCGCGGACGGAGCCCTCCCCGCAGACCTTCCCGGTGTAGAGGTGCCTGGAGTCGAAGGTGCAGGCGCCGGGGCCGGCCTCCACGGGGCCGCTGCTCTCCACCTCG